GGGGGGGGGGGGGGATGCGTTTTGCGCGCGCAGTGAGCAACCAGGCTCTGGGCCGGGGGGGTGCGTTTTGCGAGCGCAGTGATCAACCAGGCTGGGGGGAAAATTTGCTTTCTTAAGTCCTAGTAGACTAATTTGAAGGCATTTTATCATGTTAATCTCTATATGTCCGCGAACACAGCGATAGGACCTATCAAAAAATTACCAGTGAAAAATTACTATTTATTGGAATAAAGGTCCCTCTCCCTCCTCGACTAAACGCCAGGCTCCAGAACGTCATTTGTAATAAACACGCGCCTTCCTCGAGTCGAAAATCTGTCCAGATTTCCCCATTTCTTTTATTTTATAAATGATTTTCAACTGGCTAAATAATTATCTTATATTAGGCCTATTTCTATTTCTACAGTTCGTGGGTTGACAAAATCAAAGGAAAACATATTAAAATCAATCTATACCTTCAGGACAACCGTGGTCTGGGTTTTCATCTTTCTTTTGGCTCGCATACTGTTCTTCTAAATCGGGTGGTAGGCATTCATTCCTATCTTCACGGTATTTTTTGTTGACCCAGTCATCCAATGTTTGGCAAGATTTTGCAAAAGCTTTTCGCTTTTTAATTTCCTGCTCCTTTATCCCCACTTTTTAACACGTGCGCGCTCCAGCGTCGAGTATACTCGTTTCAGGGTATTTCTGAGAGCGCTAGGAACGATTATACTTGTCTAAACCGGGGTGTCATTCTAGCATTTTGACTTCATTGCTATACACTGACATACCTGCTGGTAGTTAGGGGAAGATACACCTAGACGATAACGTGAATATAACGTGTGTATGTTTGTTGTGTTATGTTGCTGGCAGTACAAAAGATTGCGCGTGTGGAGTCAGCGCTCTAGTATACTTATTGTAACTCATTTGTACATTCATACAATCTTAATACTGTACTGTTATGTGATTCATTTTATAATGATTCTGGGAACAAGGTCACATATTTTTTGGTTATAATTAGTGGACGTTTTTCGATTTTGGGGGGGGGGGTTGCGTACGCACCCAACGCACCCCCCTGGATACGGGACTGTTACGAAAGCATGCTTCTCAGTATTTACTATCTTCCCCCATACGTCTGGCGCCTCCACTGTATGGTTTTTGTGAGTGACGATCAGTACGATAGACGGTTTTTGGATTGTTTGTCTCGCAGGGTGAACAATGCAACAAAGCGCAGAGGTTGACTTACCGTTGACAGTTGATTTAACTTTCCATTGTATTCCCTCGTTGTATTCACATGCAAATCCAATCCGTTTATTCATTTGGCAAAATCGGTACAATATACATGCGGGAAAAATGTTAGTTGTCTGCTCGCTCTCATTCTAATAAATAAAATATCACCGCACTGTGATTTTTCTGCTCCGGTATTAACAACAAGGACTTGAACCATCAACATAATTCAACAATACGGTAAGTCAGGATGCTAATAACTGTAGTTTTGTTTTAGTCGGCTACGCACCGAACATAATGCTATCATGAAAATTGTACATATACATTCATATAGCAAACATCACATTTAGTGTTGTAATTAACTGTGGCCAAGGATTGTAGCTGTAATCGATATATGATAGTATCAGCATGGACCTATTAATAAGTATCAGTGTATATTATTGATATACTCGTGATGGAATATCAGGGCAGGTTTGTAACGCTCTGTGTATTTCATTCTCCGGTCTTCGCTATACTCGTAATTTTGTTTAAACTGTTCTCAGATTGGAGTTTTGGTGGGTTTTTTTCTAGTTAAGTATTGATTGTTAATGTTAAGATTCTTTTCTCCTTTTCTTTGTGCATTTGACTGTGAGTGCCACCGATACAAAGGTATAGTGTCACAAATAAATAGATAACCAAATACTTATCATTGCCTTCCAAAATGACGTAATTCAGGTATGTTGGGCCAACTATATAAACAACCATGTTTCTCGTCTCATGGAGATTTGCACCGTCCCATTCACAGGCCAAAAAGCACGGAAAATCCTCTATAAATGCAAATATCCTTGTAATCAATGATGTGCGTCTGTGTTCCTAACATGATGAGACCAGATATACGATTGAGTTGCGTGAGTGAGTGTTGTTCTTAACATGATGAGACCAGATATACGATTGAGTTGCGTGAGTGAGTGATGGCCATCTTTGCTATGATAATGTAGGCTAACCTGCTTTTAAGAAAACCAAACGACTAAATATAGACTGTTGGCATAGAATCTCGTTTTGATTATTCATCTTCGCCATGACATAAATTCATACTCTTCCACATAGGATTAACATATACAATGTAAAAACCTAATATAGGCTACATGACCATGACCCTGAACAACATCAAGGTAAGCCAACATCACTTCCTTTGAGCTCGCCATAAAAGTATAGATGATTCCAAAGAAGCAGGCTTATTATTTTCTTCGTTTGTCTGGCAATAAAGGAAGTTTCTTCCAGTGGCATCAAAATTAGCCACAAAGCTAAATGTCCCTATAGTGGTTAAGCTATCCGTATATCAATCATAAGGTCCGAGTTTTAATGCTGGCTGAGGTGATATTCTGGTTCTGGTGAGTAGAGACGACCTCCTAAAGACTCTAACCATACAGAGTAGTAAAATAGACGCACAGTCTAGTCACGAGCAGCTAACCACAACAGCCCTTTTGGACTAGGAAGGAAGTCACCATCTTACAAACTTGGCTTTGTAAAGTAAACTACATTGGTATTGAAACTGAGTCTTCTTTTGAGTTATAAAGTTGCAAAAATACACCACTAATCCTTTTACACACTATATTTGACCGTTTTATACATATTTTATACATGTTTTATACATATTTAACATATACCGCCCTCCACCATCGAAAAAGAACAAGTTGACCAGATCCATGTTTCTGGAAGATTTTTCTAGATTTTTGGAATCAGTTGCGGCTATTCCTGGAGAAATCATCATTCTCGGGGACTTCAACATCCACGTCGACGAGGCCAATGATCGGTTTGCCACCTCTTTTGCTGATCTCTTAGACGCCGTTGGTCTACGGCAACATGTTGCTGAAAGGACTCATAAATCTGGTCACATTCTTGATCTTTTAATCAGTCGTCAATCCTCCAGTGTTATCACGGGTGATGTCAAAGTTCATCCAGGAACGCCTTCTGATCATTACGCAGTGAAATGTTATCTCAATTGCATTCCTCCAAAGGCACCTAGAAAGATTCTAAAATATCGTAAGATCAGGCAGATTGTCGTTGATGATTTTAAATGTGACATTGAATCCTCGGAACTTTATACTAATCCTGCGAGTGATCTTGATGGGCTTGTGAACCAGTACAACACCATCCTCCATGACCTTCTGAATAAACACGCGCCGCTTGTTGAAAAGACTGTTACTGTGAGACCAAATGCTCCTTGGTACAATGATGAACTTAGAGCAGCCAAGCAAGACAAAAGACGTGCTGAAAGGCAGTATGCGAAGTCCAAGCTGGAAGTTCACAAACAAATCTACGCTGATAAGTGTAAGCTATACAAAACCTTGCTTGAAACAGCAAAGGAAGACCACCACCGAACACAGATTGAGAATAGCAACAGTAAAGAACTTTTTCGCGTTGTCGGTAAATTATGCAATCCTTCGTCTGAACCTGTCTTACCAGATTGTGATACACAAGAACAGCTTGCAGAAGACTTTGCAGCATTTTTTGTTGACAAGATTAAAAACATTCGCAATGTTCTTGACTCCACCGATTCTCAGGCCGTCTCAGTTGATCTTCAAACTACCTGTAGCAGCATCCTGAGCGATTTCAAAGAACTTTCGCCGGTTTCTGTCCGAGAAGCGATCATGCAGTCACCTAACAAAAGCTGTCCACTTGATCCCATTCCGATGGAACTGTTTAAGTAGGCTAACCTGCTTTTAAGAAAACCAAACGACTAAATATAGACTTTTGGCATAGAATCTCGTTTTGATTATTCATCTTCGCCATGACATAAATTCATACTCTTCCACATAGGATTAACATATTCAATGTAAAAACCCAATATAAGCTACATGACCATGACCCTGAACAACATCAAGGTAAGCCAACATCACTTCCTTTGAGCTCGCCATAAAGGTATAGATGATTCCAAAGAATCAGGCTTATTATTTTCTTCGTTTGTCTGGCAATAAAGGAAGTTTCTTCCAGTGGCATCAAAATTAGCCACAAAGCTAAATGTCCCTACAGTGGTTAAGCTATCCGTATATCAATCATAAGGTCCGAGTTTTAATGCTGGCTGAGGTGATATTCTGGTTCTGGTGAGTAGAGACGACCTCCTAAAGACTCTAACCATACAGAGTAGTAAAATAGAGCGGTAGGAAATGTCCAGACGCACAGTCTAGTCACGAGCAGCTAACCACAACAGCCCTTTTGGACTAGGAAGGAAGTCACCATCTTACAAACTTGGCTTTGTGAAGTAAACTACATTGGTATTGAAACTGAGTCTTCTTTTGAGTTATAAAGTTGCAAAAATACACCACTAATCCTTTTACACACTATATTTGACCGTTTTATACCATTATATATTTAGTTAAGATTTGCATAGAATATTAGATGACTTCAATAAATTGTCAGACTAAGAAAAAACAATTTGCTTTAAAGTTGTTTAAGTCTCATTAGATAGTTTAGGGAATTTAAAACGTATTGAACCGATTATACAGACTTTTCTTTTTGCAGCCAAAGGTCATTTGTTTTATAATCGTTAAATGTAAAACATTAATCATCGTACTATCTACTACAGCAACTGTTTGAACACTTACCGTATAGAGCATTTATATGTCAATGCTTGAGTGTATTATTATACTTGATGTTGAATGTAAAATATTTAATGTTTAGAATCTGTTATTACATAGCCTAAATATAATACTTCAGTTCACAATTTAAGATTTAAAGTTACCAACCGGATACGGATTTAAGCTGTCTCGTTTCATACACAATATCCAAACATAAGCCAATTTTCTGTCGTGTTATTTTTGGAGTTATGTTTCCATTGTGTATGGGTTATTGTTTGTAAAGCACCATGCCACCCATTGAAAATAGTGTTTCCATTGTGTATATATAGGTTATTCTTTTTTTTTTCTCTTTTGTTTGGGTAGCACACCTTTATTCAAACTTAAATAAAAACCATATCACATATCCAAATCATTTACATGTACACTATTTTTTTTTCATTATAAAAGTCATTATCACATTATATATTAAATGTCATAAATACAAAATTTATATTATGTTTAACCTCATTTCAATAATATACTTTAAAAAAATATGTATAATATTTCTGAACATATCAGTAGTCATAATAAACATATTATCATAATCATCATAATAATCATGAATCTGCTATCCTCTGGAGTTATTCTAAAACCAATGGAGCCAGAACAAAAACATATCTCCCAGAAAACTACAGTGTAATGTGATTAGTCTTCTTTCTTTTTCAATTAAAATTTAGATGAGTTTTTTTTTTGTTTACTTTTAAGATACATATACATATACACACATTACATATATATATATGTATATATATATGTATATATATACTGTCTCTTATACACATCTAGATGTGTATAAGAGACAGCTGACATACCTGTTACAAATATTTCTTGACTTGAGTCACATTGCCCTCTATGCAAGCTCTGTGTAAAGGTGTTTCACCTTTCTCATTACGTCGCATAAACTGTAGAAAAAAAACAGAAATCTGTTAGAGCCAGAAACGTTTGCCTCTCAGCCCTAGTAAACCTGGAGATGAGTTGATGAGTCCTACAAAGGAGCTCTTCTTCATGGGTAGAAACAAGGACTATAAATCGTAGGCCCAGTCTACCCAAACTCTAAAGAACACAGGACAACCTTAGCAAAGAGCAGAAGTTGAACAGGTGCTGTGGTCCCACCTCACTTTGAACTATTGTTGTATCAAACTCACATGTGGTTTTTTATTTCGTTTCCGCACTCCTTCCACAATATCATTTTCATCTACTTCTGATTCTTCTATAAAATATAAAATACAATGCTAAATAATGTTGGCCACAGATTGGTACACATACAACATCATACATATTTACATTTTCATATAATTACAGGAAACAACCAATAAAAATGAAGAAGAAAATTCACTACTCAGAATCAAAAGCGTCATGGCACCCATTGAAAATATATATTTCGATGACTCATGCCAAAATAACAATACGGGACCATATTCGAAAGAGAAACATTTAAAAACTTTTGTTTTTCCTTATATTTAATACGAATCTATATCACTTGCTTAATTTGCGATTAGATATTATATACACAAGACTACAGGGAGAACACTTTTTGATTAATTTAGGTAATGTTCAATCAAGGAAGTATACCTCCTTGGTTCAATCATGTATTTAGCAAATACACCACGTGCACATAGTCCTTGTTGAAAACGGGTCAAGTAAAAATTCCAAAACATAAAATTCCTATAAGTATAGTGTTGGTACTAACCTTTCATATTGTATGTTAATCTGTATGTGATCATGGCAAGTTCTTTTTGGCATTGGTTAAATATTAAAATCGGATTCATTTATAATAATATTATTCCTACTTTATATAATATAGCTGTCGCGAATATTTTAAATAAGATAGCAGAAGAAAGTGAAAGTAAAGTAAGTCCTTAGCATAAATATCAAGAAGACGGAATGTATGGTCTTTTCCAAGAGCCGAGAACAGCTGATGATAAAATATAGCCATCCTACGAGGCCGCAGAAATGTTTAATTGGAGGGAGAACTATACTTACTTTAATGAATATACACTCTATATTATGTGGATGATTTATTAATGTTCGTATCTTTTTAATGTTGTATAGGCCTATATATATATTTTTAATCCACCCATGAGCTTGTTTTGTATTGTACATTTTAACTTTACTGACAATCCTTAACTTCAATATTTAAGATTTATTTTGAAAATGTTTAGAGGTAGGGCCTATAATCTAAAATAACAAATAACTATTATAACATTTTGGCAAAGTTATAATGGCCAAGCCGGCCCTGATTATGCCTACTTCCGATTAAAATTTCAACACTTAAATTAAAAGTGAAGACATTAACTTTTTTTTCAATTATGTGCTATTTCCCGGCTGGAGCCATTTTTTCAACCATGGTGAAAAAAAAATATGTTGCACCCCACCACCTACACACACCCACTCTTATTAAAATGGCCGGACCACTTGCAAAATGCTTCCGACGGCTATGAATTCCAAAGTAGTAGGCTTATTATTTTATTCGCTTGTCTGGCGATAAAGGAAGTTTCTTCCAGTGGCATCAAAATTAGCCACGAAAGCCAAATGTCCCTACAGTGGTTAAGCTATCTGTATATCAATCATAAGGCCCGAGTTTAATGCTGGCTGAGGTGATATTCTGGTTCTGGTGAGTAAAAGACGACTTCCTAAAGACTCTAACCATACCAGAGTAGCGCTAAAATAGAGCGGTAAGAAATGTCCAGACGCACAGTCTAGTTACGAGCAGCTAACCACAACAACCCTTCTGGACTAGGAAGGATAGTCACCCTCTTACAAACTTGGCTTTGTGAAGTAAACTACATTGGCATTGAAACTGAGTCTTCTTTTGAGTTATAAAGTTGCAAAAATACACCACTAATCCTTTTACACTCTATATTTGACCGTTTTATACCATTATATATTTAGTTAAGATTTGCATAAAAAATTAGATGACTTCAATAAACAATAAATTGTCAGACTAAAAAAAAACAATTTTCAATTTGTTTTAAAGTTGTTTTAAGTCTCATTAGATAGTTCAGGGAATTTAAAACGTACTGAACCGCTTATACAGATTTTCCTTCTTGAAGCCATGTTGATGTTGAATGTATATTATTTAATGTTTAGAATCTGTTATTATATAGCCTAAATATAATTCTTCTGTTCACAATTTAAGATTTAAAGTTACCAAACAGATACGTATTTAAGCTGTCTCGTTTCATACACAATATCCAAACATAAGCCAATTTTCTGTCGTGTTATTTTTGGAGTTATGTTTCCATTGTGTATATGGGTTATTCTTTGAAAAGCTCCATGGCACCCATTGAAAACAGGCATCACGAGGCAAATATAAATTTCGATGACTCATGCCAAAATAACAATACGGGACCATATTCGAAAGAGAAAAATGTTAAAACTTTCGTTTTTCCTTATTTAATATGAATCTCTATCACTTGCTTAATTTGCGATTAGATATTATATACACAAGACTACAGGGAGAACACTTTTATACGGTACTTTTTGATTAATTTAGGTAATATTCAATCAAGGAAGTATACCTCCTTGGTTCAATCATGTATTTAGCAAATACACCACGCACATAGGCCTTTTTGAAGACGGGTCAAGTAAAAAATACCAAAGCATAAAATTTATATAATTATAGTGTTGGTACTAACCCGCATGCTAATCTATATGTGATCATGGCAAGTAATTTTTGGCATAGGCTTAGGTCAAATATTAAAACAGGATTCATATTAATATTACGCCTACTTTAGATAATATAGCCGTCGCGAATATTTTAAATAAGATAGTAGAAAAAAGTGAAAGTAAAATTCTTAGCATAAATATCAAGAAGACGGAATGTAAGGTCTTTTCCAAGAGCCGAGAACCACCTACATGCACTTTAAAGATAGGAAATGTCAGCATTTCTCATGTCACAAATTACAAGTATTTAGGAAGTACCGTGCCATCACAGCTGATGGTTATTGTGATGACGAAGTGAGATATCGTATTGGTATGGTAAAAAACGCGAAAATGAATAAAATTGTATGCAACAGCAAAATTTCGATTATTGAGACACGACTAAGAGTATTAAAATGTTATATCTATCCAGTCTTAACACATGCATCTGAATGTTGGACCATGAAAGCACACTTATGGAAAAGAATCGAAGCCACAGATAATAATGTGGTTTGTTAGACGAATGCTGAAGATACAGTGGTACACACATACCACTAAAAAAATGAGTTCTTAAGGACAGAAAAACATCTAACAGCATAAATACAAGTCAGGAAATACAATTTCATTGGGTATCTGCTTAGAAAGAAAAAATGAAATGGAACATTTAATTTTGATAGGAATAATTGAATTTTGAAGGGAGGAAAGCAAGAGGAAAACCTAGCTACGATTATAGATAACATTGCAAGGGAACTCAAACTAACTTTTGAGGATGTTTTTAGAGCTGCCGAGGATCGAATTATTTGGACAGCCATCACCAACGTTCATGAAGAACAGAGTACATAGAGAAAAAGCTGTCGCGTGAACAATATCCACATAAATTTATTACTTAAGTATTTTCAGAAATCAATTTATGTTTTACAGTATACAGGGGCGGCGCCAGGAATTCCCCGACGAGGGGTCGCAGCTCCCCGACAAGGGGGATCCATGCCCCTCCACCATCGGAGAAGGCTAGCCCGCCCGCCCCCACCTCCTGTCGGGGGAAAAATGTGTTAATTATGGGATTATTTATTTAAAAGGATTATTAACGGCGCCCGAGATTTGATTTTTCCCCGACAAACTGGAAATTCCCCGACAGGGTGTCCAAGCGGGGGGTCAAGAGGTCAACGACGGGGGTCCTTTTCATCCCCTGGATCCCCCGCTAGTGCCGCCCCTGACAGTATAATATCAATGTGTTTCTGTCCTCTGCTCTTGTTGGAGCTCTATCCGCACTACCAAATTATTTGACATGATGTAATATCGCACGGATATATTTGTCTCACATAAACTTGAACGCGCCGCGCATGGACAGAGGTTAACAGCTTTTTTGTCATGTCACGTGGAGCCATTTTGTTTTCTATAACGACATACAGTATATCGACGTCAGAGATCAACAATGTTTTATTAGAAGACTGATACTAAATATAAACATAATAAATCAATTAATGGTAGCTCACACCATTGTTGATATTGTATATTTACATCCACCATTAGTACAAAACACTCTTCTTGAGTCTGGTATCATTATTATAATATTAATACTCTATATTATAATATTATTAGGCTTTTATTATAAAAACATTATTATTAATAGACATAACATTATCCAATGGTAGCTCACACCATTTTTGATATTGTCTATTTACATTGCTTCCACCATAAGTACAACAGACTCTTATTGAGTAGGCCTCTGGTATCATTATTATAATATTAATACTCATATTATTATAATATTGTTATTAGGTTTTTATTATAAGAACATTATTATTACTAATAATAGACATATCATTATCCAATGTATTAATATTTATGTTATCTCATTGGTAGGCCCCTAGGTTGAAAGCTCTATGCGCGCAGTAATGTATCTGCATTTGATACTGGGTTTGCTGTGCTGTGCTGCATCAGTACACCATGGTGAGACGACATGCAGTGTAGTTCCTCGCAAGGGCATCTTAGATGGCAACATAACTATTGGATTCATTTTCCCATTCTCTGGGCCTAGCGATGATGGACGAGGTTGCAATGCAACAGTGGTACCATCGCCAGACAACATCCAGTTAATAGAGGCGGCTATACAGATTGTGCAGTCTATCAACTCCCCGGCCACCATTCGTGGTGTGACGATTGGTAGGTATTAGACAGTTAAATCATTATTCTAATAAAACGACGATGCCACGCAAAGGTATTTTTAAAATTTTACATGCTGTCTGTTTCTATATTTTGCAGGTTTTGAGGCCTGGGATAGCTGTCATCTTACCAGTGTAGCAGTGGACAGAAGCATCGCCTATCTCAATGAAAAAGTATCATACACTGGAGATGACGGGGCAGCGTGTTCATCGACCAGTCTTTTAGCAGGTACGGTAGGCACAGAAGCCCCATGACACAGATATGCGTTTTGTAATAAGTCTGGTGTCATTTTGTTGATTGATTGATAGATAGATCAATCAATCACTCAATCGATTTATTTACTTAGAGCATAATTGGATGATAAATTTATTACGTTTTATGATTTACGTTTTTATTCCGTTTATTCGTAGGTATCATTGGTTTGTCTGAAAATGAACCGGCGGCTGCCGTAGCGTCCGTCCTGAATGAAGCAAGGACGCCATTTGTCAGTTATGGTGCATCTTCAGCAAGTCTGGAAATGTACAATTCCTTCTTGAGAACAGTGCCATCCGATGCAATGGAAGTACAGGTAATAATACCATAATACACATTATCAACGTTTGATGATATACTTGCATTAAACCATGGAAATTATTACGACCAATCAAATCAATACAATCAATAATACAGTAGCTTGTTAAGAACAAAATCATTTCAATATCTTCTCATTTCTATTTTCAGGTAATGGTTAAACTACTAATTGAATTAAAATGGACGTATGTCTATACATTCACGTCAGCTGATCAGTTCAATATGGCTGCAACCGATCATTTTAAAATGTTGGCGAAAAAGTACGGAATTTGTATCAGCGATTCCAAAACAATCTCAACGAACTCTTCGGCTAGTGTCTTCAATTCAACCATATCTAGTTTTACAGATAGCACTGTTAAGGTTGTGGTACTGTTTTCGTCTGCAGAGGATACAATGAAGCTTTTTCAGGCAGCCAAATATAGTTCTAAGGATTTCCAGTGGGTCATTGGCCAGCAGGTGTTGACTGCCAACATCCGTTTGCAAGAGGAAACCAACATAACCCGAGGCTTGATTGGAGTAGTTCCGAGTACTTTGAGGGCACAAGTTCCAGCATTTCAACCAGCTTTTACTGTTGGATCTTCACTGGACCAACAAGCGGATCCTTGGTTTAGGGACTACAGTAGTGTCAGCCCACAGGCAGACTTCAACCAGAATGTTTTTGTCGCTCCGTTGCAGAATGCCTTTATTCTATATTCGGGGGCATTAAGAAATGCTCACGTTAAAAAATGCGGTGGCAATGCAACAGGACTCTGCGAAGCACTAAGAAGCATTTCCCAAGAAGAGCTCATGAGCTACCTTACTAATACAACATTTATCGGAGTTGATGGAGCTAACGTTTCATTTAGTAGTAACCGCCAATTGATGAACCAATCCTACGATATCGTTAACTTCGGCATTGGCAGTGATTCTAATTATACACTGAATATAACGGTTAGTTTAAAAGATTTATTTACTATTTCATATTAATAATTGCGTCCAGAAAATAGCAATGTTATATATAATATATGTAAAAGCATTGCTAGTGGGAGAGTTCGATGCACCTTTCAACCATTCGCTCATGTCCGTGGACAATGGACGATAGGTATCTACATTTGCCTCATTACCCAGGAGTATAGGTCGAAATTGTTTTCTTTAATGTATTTGGTGTTGAAATACTAATATTGTTGTTGCTGTTCTTGTTGCTGCTGGCGCTGCTGTTGTAGTCCTCATCCTTGTTGTTGTTGCTGCTGTCGTCACCACCATCATTGTTCATTTATTTCATTTTCATTTATTTTTTCCAGGTAATATAAAATACAAAAAACAAAGACACAGCCTGAGGATAATCTAAAGTAAACTTAATTACTATCGAGAGGTTCTCCAAACAGAAACAAGACAACAAACACATATATAAAAATAGCAAGCTTAAATAAAAGTACCGCACAGAATAACAATAAAATTTAAGAAACCAGTCAATATTTTTTAAAAAAAATTATTAATTAAATAAATGGTTACCTTTGCAGGGGGTAAATTGTTCCAAATGTACGGAAAATAATTAAAGCACGAACATTTATGGCAATCGGTTCTGGCATATAAGATTTTAAATCTAAAGTCATCGGCATATCTGGTATTAATTTGAGGAAGGAGAACAGGATTGACATTATATTGATGATGTATGCATGATAAAATAAACGACAATAAGAGATATTTCAATGTAAAATTGTTGTTGTAATCCAATGTGTTTTAATTATATTTCAGGTTGGCAATTTTAGTGATAATAAGCTGACATTGTCAACAGACTCTATTCAGCTGTGGATGGATGGTAAACTAGTTCCTGCATCTAATGTCAACTCCACATGTAACAATTTGTGCTCAGACCCAGCATGCGGAGACCTGGCAGATACATCAAAGGTATCATATCCTTCAATTCACACACACACACAATTTACAATTTAGCTCCATGGTAGGCGATTATTCAATATATGGAAGCGGCTTTTGGTAGTGGAAATCGTTTGGTTTCCCAAACTCGAGGTCGGGGTTTTAATCCTTCGCTGTGCATTTCACTTGTGTCTTTGAGCAAGGCACTTTATCTATACATTGCTTCAGTCTACCCAGCTGTATCAATGGGTACCAGGAAATTGCTGGGCCCATTAGCCAGCGTCCCACGCAGGGGAAGAATCACACTCCCATCCCCTTCAAGCTACAGAAACTGGAAATAATGCTCCAGCCCTCTGAGCCCAGTGGCTCGGCAAAGGATTTACTTTTTATCATCTGCTGACTTTTTCATTTTCGAACAAGGGTTCAATTAAAGCGTTTAATTTATAAGAGAAGCTAACACCATTTATTCTTTTTAGGTGTATATACCAGGAAACATAATTCTGGGAGGCTTGTTTGGAATTCATGAGGGTGCCCCATACCCATCATCCTCTGGCTGTGGCAATGTAAGTGCGGATGGCATCCAGCAGCTAGAAGCTTTACTTTATGCCCTCGATCGTTTGAACAAAGACAGCTCAGTTCTGCCAAACATCACTATAGGTTTGGATGCATTTGATACATGCAATTCTCCTAGTCGAGCCGGCAATCTTGTCATCAAATTAGTTGGCGGTGCCGAATTTAATGAGAGTGGTTCGGGTCAGCGAAAAGACCAATCCGGAAATGTCGAACATCTTTACGGAATCATTGGACCAGGATCCAATGACGAATGTGTTGAAGTTTTAAAAGTTCTTGGTATTTATGATATTCCTGATATATCATACTCTGCTCAGTCAGCGAGTCTTAGCAATACGTACAACTACCCAACATTTGCACGAACTGTATCCGTGGAAACGATGCCCGTTGCTGCTATAATCGAGATACTTGTTGCAAAAGGATGGAAATATGTTCAGGCGATCATCACTCCTAATTCGTATGGATGGAATTCGTACAGTGTCTTGTCACAACAGGCACCACCTGTAAGTGTTTTCATCAATATAATAATAGGTTTATATTAGTTGCATCATTTTGTATATTTCTGCAGGGGTGCAGACAGGACGAAATTCAAGAGGGAGAGGGGTCAGTTGCGAGCGAAGAAAGAAAGTTAGAATGGGGGCTAGGGGGCCGTCAAGGGCACCAGTGGGAGCCCTTGTGTTATTTTACGTGCTACAGAGACAGAGAGTGTGTTCCGTTTTCCATCATGTGTCCCGCGTTCCAAATCAGTATGCCTCGATTTTGAAGTGGTATCCTTTTAGGGTCCGGATAGACATGCCTACTGAATTTCAGGTCACACTAAGGTCCACATTTTTTAATTAGATTTCTCACTTAAATCGTGTATATGCTTGTTAAATGCTGTGGATAACATAGAAGATTTTTTAATGCTTAATTCAATATTAAAACTACTGACGGTATTTTTACTTAAGTAACTTTTAATTACTGATTAGAAATCCCTGCCAGATAACGAACATAGGCCACTAATATCTTTTTTCTAGGTATCCATTAAAAAAAATTTGAGGTGGGAGGGGTCAATACCCGTGACCCCCCTCTGGCTGCACCCCTGTTTTCCACAAGCATTCACTGAAGTTTATTTTTTGTCGGTGTTGCTACTGTAGCATTTGTCATTCTTATCAGCGTCGTCATCATCATTGTCATTATATAATTATAGCATTATCGTTAATTATCTTTATCGTTATCATTACCAACGTAATCATCCTCATAACACCACTGTTATTATCATTTTCATCATCGTTCCCATGGCATTATGACATTACTATTATTATTATCATTGACATTGTACTGTACTGTATCATTATCAATACCATTATTATCAAATACTATAATGACCACTTTATTATAATTATCGTCATCATCATTGTCAATGTCATTAGTTGCTTTTTGTTCGCAATTTTTGCAGAAAGGAATATGTGTGACACAACAACTAATGCCTGGCAGCGGAGCCCCCATGGATGACCTCTTCAAAGGAATTACCAAAGGCAATGCTGCTAATGTCACAATCCTCTTGACAGAAGAAAGCGATACCCTTCGGTTCCTTGAAGAGTTAGCGGCTAGGAATCTAAATGGGAAATTCTACATTATTGCTTCAACCAAATGGCCACTTGACGTAATCCCCGACAAAATTGAACAAGTAATCAATGGTAATTCGTAATTTGTTTTATTACAAAATAATGGAACACGATCTCGGGGAGTTATGTGTGTTTTAGGTGTTTGGGCTAATGACCGATGACGGGGGATAATGTGAAATGCCTAGAAACCTTGCAATATATGTAATATATATGCGCTATATAACTTTATATAAGACTGTATTTGTCAACTCTCTTCCTAGGTTTAACTGTTGTAAATATTCGAGAACGTAACGTGACGGGGTTTATGAATTACTTCAGTAAGCTGAAACCTTCAACTAATGGTCGTAACCCGTGGTTCCAGGAATATTGGACAAATAAATTTAATTGCACTCTTCTCAAGGATAAAAACAATACATGCAGAGGTAAGATGAATGTTCACAAGGAACTGGTGAAAACTAGTTAAAAGTATTATTATTATTGGAAGACCTGCGAATACAATGTAGTCTGATAGGAGTATTGTTGCACTTATTGGCATTGTAGAGGTTACAATGGTAGGTTAAATTAGTCTATCCTTCGTTAAAAAAAAATGTTCTTGAAGAATTAGCAAAATCGTGAAGAAAAAATTTTGATGTGATTTCTTTTTACAGATCATAGTTCTAAATTCAATTACAAAAGACTGTTTCAAATCCCTAAATTGCAGGAACTTCCAGGGTTTGCCTGCTGTACCCCCTCTGAGGTATTTTAAATGGCCCAGGCGCCAACACTACCCTACATAAAGATTTTAATGGGTGCAGGTTGCAAATATTTAGTAGGACAGACTTACTGAAAATATCAATTTTACATGCACATCATATTCTTATCTAGATAATCTTGCTTTGAAAACTGATGACGTCACCAACCCATACGTAGGTGAAGTGGTCGACAGTGTGTACGCGATGGCAGAAGCGTTGGACAGTCTTAGGCGTTCGAAATGCCCGCTGCAGGAGTCTATCTGTTACGAGATGACAGCCGCCACTGGTACAGAGCTGTTTACAATGCTAAGAAGTGTTAATTTCATTAGTATAAATGAGGACAGGAAAAGTGTAAACTTTAATTTTCAAGGAGACGGTAGTAGCGATTACGATGTATTCAACTACCAAGAAAACGGAGGGACATTTAAGTATGTTAAGGTTAGTAGATCTATCCTTAAACCAATACCGCAAATGACCCACAAACCCCGTGGTGCTTATACCATACTTAGAGGCTTCAGTGCAGCTGTTCGATGAACAGTCTTGTTTTTTGAACAGATAAAATACTAACTGTTTTCACTAAATATTTTCATTAATTTGACAGATTGGTTCTTACTCAAAAAGTAAACTTGATATGGACCCTAGTATGCTAAAGTATTACAATGCATCTGGCGAAGTTGCTCCTAACGACGGTAACGCCTGTGTAGGTACCTGTGACAATTGCGAAACAGTAACCAAAGAAAAAGTTGCCGAAGTGTCAAATGGAGATGTATGGATTGGAGGTAAATGTTCTCATTTGATATTTCATAGCATCTGCAAGAAGAAAAAATAATTAAAGGAAAAATGTCGGTTGTAGCCGTAACTTGGTGGTTAAGATATTTGTTTCATTTATTTGTAGTAATCCTGGGCAGTATATTTGCATAAATGTTACTTTATATCCAGTGATACCAATTTTCTGAAATAGTTTATAGATTAAAGAGATAGTGAAACTCACCTATGTTAAACACACATTTTTTAATTTGTTTTTGTCTACGAAAGTGATATATGAACACAAAAACTCATAAATTATTGTATTTTATATTAAAGGGTTCTTCGAATTGAACCAACCAGGCAATGACCGTTTAAAGTGTTTGAACGAGCTTCTACTGTACAACATGCAACATCTGGAAGGATTTCTATGGGCTGTTGATCAAATAAACATGAATGCATCGATATTGCCAGACATCAAAATAGGTGCCATAGCATTCGATACATGTGGACTCCCCGAAAAGGCTAGACGAGAAGTAACAAACTTTGTTTCAAAGGCAGTTGAATATCGTTCAGGCTTTCCAAGGGACAGTATACGAGTAATTGGAATCATAGGTGGCGAGACAAGCGACACGTCAGTCGAAATTGCAGACGTCACCACACCGTTGGACATTTCCCAGATTAGCTACGCAGCAACTAGTGAAGCTTTGAACGACATTGCAAAATATCCGTACTTTATGCGGACTGTTCCAACAGATTCTGACCAAGCTCTTGCATTGGTTAGTGTTATAAAAGACTTCCACTGGTCGTATATATCGGTGGTTTATTCCAATGATGGCTACGGTATCGATATGCTTCGTGAATTCAGTAAAATATCTCAAAAATCTAGGATATGCATCGCGATGAAAGTGAAAGCGACAAATGGTGATTTCGATAGTAGTGTCAGAAAACTACTTACGAACACACAGTCACAAGTTGTAGTTCTACTGACATCTGACATCGACACAAAACAGCTCCTTGACGCCGCTGAACGTCAAAATGTCTCAAGTATCCAGTGGTTAGGAACAGAGACATGGGGATCTAGGAACTTCATCACACAGACAGCTACAAAAACATCTCAACATGCAATAACCCTTAGATTTCAGGAGACCACCGCACCTGGGTTCAAGGAATACTTTACAAAGTTGAATCCTTATTCTAACTCTCGTAACCCATGGTTTAGTCAATACTGGATGGATACTCTGAAATGCAACCTTAATGTGTGGAATGTACAACACAAATACAATGTTACGTGCCCATGGACTGCCTCTATAGAAGATACATACGTAGAAGAGCCGGAAGTGACGTACATTGCAAACGCTGTCAAAGCATTTGCAATTGGTCTGAATAAAACAATGCAAGACCTGTGCCACGCCACCAAGTACATTATACACAAATGATTATGTTTTAATGTTCAGAACAAATAATTCCTTATATCAATTAATAGAAATATGTGAAGTAATTAAATATAAATTAAATAATTATAATTAATAATGCTTGTCATGATTTTATACTGTAATTTTGTCATTTTAGTTATGTTTGTCCAGAAGTTTATAACAATTCAGAACTGCTGAGAAACAACATACGAGCAGCAAAATTCACAGGATTTGGAGGAGAATCGTTCAGTTTTGATGCAGAAGGGAATGGTCCACCAAAGTATGATATCCTGAACTTCGTTAATGGTGCTTATAATGTGGTAAGGCCTTGCACAATTTGCAAATAAATCAGTACGTTTGATAAGAAATAACTAGAAATGATTCCAGTGGCGGATCCAGGAATTTGAAATAGTGGGGACCCAAAGAGGGACTTCTACAGATGGAGGGTATATACTACCATGGTAGCCCCACCATGGTGGGGGCTGAGGTAAGAAATTTTATGATTATGGCACCTCTAGATGGCGGGAAATGGCACTCTTAGACTCAAAATGTGAGCAGAATTTTCTTTTTTTTCCTATTTTTTTTTATTTTGAAAAAATTGGGGTTGGCTGCCCCCCCCCCTTAAATCTGCCTATGGATTCAATTAATAAACTGAATTATTTATTTAAAAGTCTAAAAAGTTTAACTGTTAATACAATCCAAATTGAAACAACTAGGTTTTTTTTGCTGCTTTGCACAATTTTTCTCAAACACTCTTTATACTGATTACCAGTCCTTATCCAAGAAGACTTGTTCCACCACCAGAACCATAGGCGAGCGTGCCGTTCCAACCTTAATCCTTTATTACTATTGATGTACTTAGGTCTTTGACTCATGAAAGCATACTTTTTCGGTTTTGGAGGGTAGTGAGCACTTTGACCGTAAAGAATAAGCGCTATAGAACTGCTGTAGTACCAAGTAACAAGTAACAAGCGCGGATGGTATGACTGTTAGTCGCGTGCTCCTGCCTTAAACGTGTGGCGGATCCAGAGATGTCCAAAAGTGGGTCGATCGAGATAACAATTTTAAGTTTTCTAGACGCCCGAAAATAACCTCTGAGGCGTTTTAAGCGATCATTTTTTTTCCCTTTTCTTTCTTTCTTCTTTTGACTATTCAAAAGCGGACGGGGGTCGGCCGGTTTTTTTTCTTTTCATTATTTCTTCTTTTTGACTATTCAAAAGGGGCCGGGGGTCGGCCCGGCGCCCCCTAAATCCGCCCCTGCAACTCGCCATCCACAAAGTTATCAATTATATTATTCTAGTTTATAATTTCTGTGCTCTGTGAAAGACCAGTGGATTTCTTACTGAATAGGTTCCCCCTATAAAAAATAAAGAAATTAAAAAAATAAAATAAGAAATATATAATTTTGATTTTTAACCTCACAATGTTTTTTTTTATATTATTATTTTTTATATTGTATGAATTATTAGGTGGGAACATGGAGAAACGATAAACTAAATTGGAACGAAACAGACTGGAGAACAGCTGTTGATCAAATAACCTCTGAATGCATCGGACGTTGTACAGAGTGCTTGAGTTCTGATAATGGTGACGTTATGGTGGCTAATGTACCCGGAGAACTGCAGATCCCAGCTCTGTTCGCCATCCACGACCATGCAGACTACAAGGAAGATTGTGGAGCTATCCGGGAGACTGGTATAGTAAATTTAGAAGCCTTACTGTTTGCTTTAGATGAAGTTAATAACGATACATCACTGCTTCCTGGGGTGACGCTCGGAACAAACGCATTTGATACTTGTATGACGAGTTCACGTGCGGTGCGTGAGTTATCTTCATTGCTGGGAGGAAGACTGGACGTTGATAACAACGGTTGGTCATCGATTGTTGGAATAATTGGATCGGAGACAGATGACACAACACACAGCTTATCCACAGTATCAGAACAATACAGATATACACAAGTAGGTGCATTAATAATAATAATAATAATAATAATAATAATTATCAACAATAATAAAAAACAATAATAATAATAATAAACAATAAAAATAATAACAATAACAATAACAACAACAATAACAATAACAATAATAATAATAATATTAATAATAATAATAAAGATTTATAATGCACACATCTCCAGCAATGGTGTTCAAGGTGCTGTGTCAATTTCACCACAAAATTTTAAAAAATCCACTCCCGGAAGAATTTAAAGCAGAATCTGTGCTCCCCATAGGCCAAAAAATATGCGCATTGAATACCAAACATCGCAAAATACTACGTATCATTAGTGTACATGTCACATAGACTATTTTCATAAAGTAATGCATTTTGGATAACATAGACACGCTCCTGTTGCATGATCATTATTAGGAACAATATTGAATTTCTATATTCTATGGCTAATATTCAAAACACCAACACCATTCTGGCACAATGACAATGTGGATAAATAAATATTATATTAAAGACACATTATATAGCAATACTAAACCTGGGATTTTCTTCTTAAATGTTTATAATAAAGATAAGCTACGGTGCTTCATCAAGTGTTTTTGACGATAGAGATGAATATTCATACCTTCTACGGACTTCGCCGTCATTTTCAGTGTCAATACAAGCTATCGTGGATCTCTTCAAATACTTCAACTGGGATGGAGCATCAGTAATCTACTCTGATACAATAGAAAACAGAACAAGTAAGCAGTGTACTGACCTAAATATAACACACTTTAAAAATAAGAAAATCAGTATAAAAAAGTAAGGAACGATCTTCACTGACCAATGGACTTTATTGTGCACTACTCTTCCAGATGGCTGAATAAATCGACCGTATACTTAAGACATTGGATCAATATTTCAAAGCCATTGAATAACCTAATTGATACTATATAGCTTTAAACTATAAAATTATTCATATGAGTTGTCCTTACGTTGGGTTCTAGTTTATAATTTATGTGCCCTGTGTGAGACCAGTAGACTTCTTATTGAACAGGTTCCCCTCCCTATAAAGAATAAAGAAATAGCACAAAATAAAATAAAAAAATATCTAATTTTGATTTTTAACCTCACAGTGTTTTTCTTTGTTTTATATTGTACTGTATAAATTATTAGGTGGGAACATGCAGAAACGATAAACGTACGTGTGTGCATTGAAAAAACTACATATATAGTATGTAGTACTAAATATAGTTTTTCCAATACACGCCTGCTGCAATTTAAATTAAAAATAATGGGTTTCAGGGGCTTCTTCAAGATTTGTGTGTCAACGAGTTGAATGGTTGTGTCATTGTTACCAGGCTGATGACCTACTAGATGAATTTAACGATACTCTAACAAGCTATTTGTTCTTTTCGACACAGATTTAGATATATTTAACAAAGCTGCTACAGAGAACGACATATGTATCCAACAGCAACTGATGATTCCGCGGAGGGCGTCGGAGGACAATTACAAAAATATAACAAGTGCCATTACAGAATCAGATTCACCGAGTGTTGTAGTGTTACTGACCACGCCACTCGATACTAGTAATATACAGTTTCAAGCTAATAAGACAACAAATCGACACATCACATGGATTGAGACTGGAACTCTGGGCAGCAAACCACCCAACAAAACCGACATTAAGTCTGCGGTGGCAGGTAGTTTCTACGTGGCACCTACTAGGCCTGAAGTCATAGAGAGTTTTACTGAGTACTTCAATAATTTGAGCCCTAATAACAACACTCGTAATCCATGGTTTGCAGAATATAAGAATGGAAAAAGTGAATGCATTGCTGGTGATGAAGATAGATGTACAGCGACTGGTTCGACATTGGAAAAACTCAACGAAGAAACCCAAATTAGAGCAGGACTTGTAATGGACAGTGTGTATGCAATTGCTTATGGAATACACTCTTTACTGAACAAAACATGTGGAAACTCTGGTGTATGTGCAGAATTTTTGAACCTTGAACCGCAAGATCTTTATAGCAAGATCTCAACCACGCCATTCAAGGGAATTTCTGGTGGACAGGAAAATTTTACCGATGGCTATTTAATAAGAGATTTTGACGTCTACAACTATCAGAACAATAATAATTCATATTCTTTTATGAATGTGGGTAGTATTGAATACTTGTATCCAACAATAAAAATTACCAACATTAAATAATTCAAGATCAAAGATTACAATATTATTATTCGGTGCCCTAGTGCTATAGTGCATATTATTAAAAGCATATATTTTGTTTGGTGAATGTTAAGATGGGATTATACTTCCAGATACTAGAATTGCCGCTTCCAACAACATAATATATTTTTTAAAATTTATGCAATATTATTCCAAGAGATAGGCCTACTATTCCTAATAGAGAGAGGAAGAGCAAGAGAGAGGGCCTAATTCTTAACTTTTCAGTCACATTTAAAATTAATTTCTTGATACAATTTTTTTTTAAATTCTACATAGGTTGGAACATGGTCTCATATGAAAGCATTGGAACTCAAGAGTGTCAAGTTATATGGTGCTGATGGAAAACAGACAGACACCATTGTGTCAACCTGTAATGTACGGCCGCCCAGTACATACCAACCATACACATCAATGGAATATTCAAAATCTCCAAACAGTGCGAAGACTACTTCTGAAAAATCAGTAACCGGTGATTTGTATTATGTAATTGTATTCCTCTGTGTTGTTGGTATAATAGTGACAGTAGCAACCATAATCTTCTTTTTCATCAAGAGAAAAACCTCGCTTGTTACAAGATATTCGTTTTGCCTGTGTATGCTCCTTCTGCTTGGAATATTAGCCCTGTACATTCTACCCATGCTCTTCGGAGTGAAAGCATCGACTAAAATATGTGGTATCCAACATTTCGTGATAGGATTTGCACACGCAGTATGCGCAACGAGCACTCTGTTGATGTCCATCAGGTTATATCGCACTGGTGAACGCGAGAGACGAATCTCTGGTCAGAAGACATCCTTCACGAATGACAGTAGTCAATTATTTCTTTTCCTGTGCTTCATGTTTGTTGAGGTACTGATATTAGCTGAGTGGATTGTCATTGAACCTCTCGAAGAACTCTACATCAAGGACTCAGATCTTTCTTCACAGACGTGGAAATGCTTTTATCATATGGACGGTCTGGCGGTTTCCTTCATTTATATCATTATCTTGAGAATATCAACTTTCAGTGTGTCAGTGTGGTCGAGGATGAAGGTAGATTTGTCGTACCACCCACAGGTCATCGGTGTTTTGATTGCATCTCTTGGTAAGAAATTACATATGCATTATTTAAACATGCACAACTTCGACTCCGCTATTAGAATCACTGTAGCTGCTATTGCCGCTGCTTTTATTGTTGCAACTGTATTGTTCTATACTATTTCAACCACCACTGCCGCTGCTAGCACTCTACCACCACCACACTACCGTTGCTGTACCTAATTCTAATAGTACTACTACTGTACTGCTGCTGCTAATACAGCTTTCTGCTCCTGCTACTGCATCTGCTTGTCGTCTAGTAGACTGCTGCTGCCCATACATACCATTATGACTAAAAGGAAAATCACAACTAATACGACTACAGCAATTACTATGGCGCGACAATCATGTTATATATTATGAGCAAATGTATAATACAAATAAACGAGGCCTCTGTATAGGCTTGATATCCAATAAAACAAAGACCAAACGTCTACAAATGCTGCGACTAATGATGATGACTAGGCTACATCCTAGCACTATAAACAATTATTCTGGTAATTATACATCTTAAAAATAACATACACCATCATCTTTTTTTATCAGGAACAATTGTGGCATTCATTGTGTGGGTCACCGCTGCTGTCCTAACAGACATGGATGAAGACATTCCTATCTACATCAGTTTTGGTGCTATTGTCATAGCGACAATAAACTTCTTGGGCATCTTCCCGCAAAAGATTCTCCATATCTACAGAAAATACGACCCTAGGTTTGATGACACCGCCAGCATACTATCACGGAGTTCTTCAATTGTCTCAGATAGATACGTTCAACCTCGTAAGTCTGAACCATGTACACGAATATAGATTAAATCAATCATTTCTAGTACGCTGATAAATTTTTAAAAAGGAAGATAGGTTTGATGACCTTAAAAACAATACACGTTTTTGTTTTTTGATAACTGCTATATTTCCTGTAATTTTGAAGGTGAGTTAAGTGGTGTATTAGAGAAGCAGGAGCCTCAATCTGGCATCATTGATGTATTTAAGTAGTCTCATAATAAATTGTACTGACATTGCAATACACTGACATAAAAACAATTAACGCAAATATGAACAATATGACTTACTAAATATAACCAGGGCGAACATATTTTTTCTTCCTATATTACTTCAGTAGATAATCTCTAGGAATTACAAAACAACTGATAAGGGGTCAGTGTTCGACGGTGAGACCAAAATCAACCAATCAACCAAGATAATAATAATAATTATAATAGTTGGATTTGTATAGCACATCATGCGAAAAAGCCTCTATGCGCTTGGTGATTGAGCTCTTTGAGCTCAAAATCACAACTCATTTATTTAATCAATGGAAAAACACAATAAATATATTAACATAAATTTGAACATGATTATTTTCCATTAATTTGGAATTGGACTGGCATTTTCGACTGCCTAACTCGAATTTTATCTAAGTCAAACAATTTTTCAATGCCATTTTGGATTCGACTTAGGCAAGTTCAACTGTATATGTCAAACGTAGAGTTTATCCATCGTAATATATACATTTTTTATCAAATCTAAAATAATTGTGTATTTCTATATTACATGTATAGGAAGCACCAGCGCCTCCAACGTTGTTGTAGAGAATCCAGCAGCTATTGGTGAAAAGGATGACGAAAATACAGATGTATAAGAGCCAGCCACTTGTGGTCTGAATGATAATACAAGACCATAAAATATTTCATCATCATATTCACTTATATTATAGTTAATGTTTGTTCATCGCATATTTAAAAAATGTTTTTTTTATACATTTTCTATGGAGTATTGATTGCCTCTAAATCACTTTACAGGAATATTTACAAATAGTAAATTGTAATTATATTAAATATAACAATGTTTGCACTGTCACGAAGCACTGGTACTGTACTTGCAAATATCCATCAGAGATATATGGTCACATACATTAAATCAAATAATCTTGAAAATTAATGAAAAACAATAATTGCAATAACATCCCTGTTATCTTTGCAAGCTAATTTTTTTTTTTTTATACTTAAACATATGTAAATAATTGAAAACGTATATTATTTTTTATATTTGTCTTATTGAATGTTCTTAACACGATCTCTTTTAAATGAGCAATTAAAAGTTTTAGTAGAATTCTAGAGATATAATATTTTTGGTAGTGGTGTACCTTTCAAACTCTATTCATCTTTTTTACTATAAATATTAGACATATGTAAATAATTGAAAACGTATATTATTTTTTATATCTGTCTTATTGAATGTTGTTAACACGATCTCTTTTAAATGAGCAATTAAAAGTTTTAGTAGAATTCTAGAGATATAATATTTTTGGTAGCGGTGTACCTTTCAAACTCTATTCATCTTTTTTACTATAACTATTAGACATATGTAAATAATTGAAAACGTATATTATTTTTTATATGTCTTATTGAATGTTGTTAACACGATTTCTTTTAAATGAGCAATTAAAAGTTTTAGTAGAATTCTAGAGATATAATATTTTTGGTAGCGGTGTACCTTTCAAACTCTATTCATCTTTTTTACTATAAATATTAGTATTTTATTCTAGAGATATTATTTTTTTTATAGCCAATAATAATTATCTGCAAGTGAGTTGTTCTAGATGTGTATAAGAGACAGGTATTCCTCTGTGTTGTTGGTATAACAACGTCAACACAAATTGTGGTATACCGATGATAATCGCTAATGCATGTATTACATGAATTCTGTGAAGATAGATTGGTTATCCAACGGTTTGGAAGCCGTCTCAGGAAATCAATGTAGGCCTAATTGATGAAAGTGTTAATGATAAGGATGTGCGTTTACGTGTAAGTGGGTGTAATTAATTCGTCGTAATCGTAGTGAGCAAATCACAGAATATTCTATATCAGATACATGACATCTGATAGGATTCAATACGAGCAAAGTCTCAGTTTTCACGAAAATGCACTTAACGAGAACAGCTGTCTCTTATACACATCTAGATGTGTATAAGAGACAGCAACACTGTCGTAGGGGGTCCGGGGCATGCCCCCGCGAAATTTTTGTGTTCTAGACGCCCGAACATAACATTTGAGGCGTTCTGGGCTATCATTTTTTTCTTTTTTTCTTCTTTTTTTTTTCTTTTTTTTACCTCCCAAAAGGGGGGGCCGGGGCCGGGCCGGCCCCCACTAAATCCGCCCCTGTTGTGATATTATCTTTAATTAGTTTTCCTTCCTCTGATGTGATTGCGTTTCCTTGTTGAAATAATGGCATCGTAATAATAACTGACACACAAAAAAAGTTTATGCCTCATGAGCCTGTGCAAGAATTGTGCAAAATGTTGAGGTTTGACTAGTTGATTACAAAGATATTCGAATGTAATACCCCTTCACAAAAAGCACCAAATAAATAGCTACAATAGGAATGGTGATACACAGTTTTACAACCTGAAACTTTTAGAAACCTGGTCATTTCATAACCGTAAAGGACTTTTACATAAAAACAAACTTTCTAAAATACCAGATTTCAACAAGATTTACAAGACCCTGTTTAACCAATTGTTGGTTACGAATAAGAGCTGCAAAAATAAAGCAGTAAAATTAAAATATTTCTCGCCAAATGTCTCTTTACAATAACAAAATATCAAATATTTTTACTATTGCTATCAATATCAGTATTGAGTACTTCTGAAAAGTATAAAAATAAAATGTTTTTACGACGACGACATCTTAATTGTTTTTGGTGATGTGTTACAGGTGAACAGTCCTGATGTTAATTTTGATTTCAAGTCCTAGTCTCACACATTTGGCATTGACACTCACAGTTTTCAGATCCAATATTCAAGTTTTCGCACCCCAGCCAATTTTGAAACCCGGACGTTTGTTCCCAATAACTCGCAAAAAATTCAAAACATACCACGTCGCGATTACGGCCCAATGACGGCCTACTTTATATCTTCTCGTGGTGGCCTAATTATTTTTTTTGTGTGTGTTAAATAATTAAAAGGAGTATACAACAAATAACCAAACAAAACAACAGTATGTATGACTATGATAATGAATATATTAATATCGAAATAGATAAATAATTTACACACTACAATACTGAGTCCCAAATTTCTAGAAATGAAAATTCATTTTATATATTCTACTGTATTATACATGTATTAAAAAAGTGATTAGCTATCATATAAATGGTTGAATATTAATTATAATATTATTATGAGTTACCTGATTTTGAGTATTAAAAGTAAACATTTTTGTTATTAGTAAAAATACACCATTAACAAAAATAAAATCATTTTAATAATCTGATCTATGCATGGGTATCCTGATGTATGACTATCCTGATGTGTGACCATACAAGGAACTTAAAATAATTTGTGTATGGTTATGAAAATCACTCTTTTTCACAAAAATGTATTGAAATTTCAGCGCAAATTAAATATTTAATAGCAAAAATAATTTCTTTCCCTGGGACAAACTTGAAGGTGAGCATGTTAACAACAATGGCCTCTAGGGCCCTGGGAATACTAGTAAGGTTGAATTAAAGTTATCAATATTATGTGCGATGTAGTCCAAAGTGACCAATTATGAAGATAAAACAATGCATACTTTTGGTAGATGATAATGAGTGGTGATATAACACACACCTTTACCTTAAAAGAATTATCATACTTGGCCCGGAAAAAATATGATAAACCAGATGAGTATATACAGTATGAACATGCATTATTTCCTAAAACAGGAGATTAGAAGTATTAATATCAACCATCTGAAATAAGGTTTGTTGTAGAAATTGAGCCCTCTATTGGTAATATTTTATCAATAACAAGGACAGTTTACATATTTTTTCTCTTTGCATTCATTTCATCACATCATAATAGGCACTTTCAAGAAGCACTCAATTGTATATTATCATCATTCCTGATGATGACATAATTAATGTCTAAATATTGAATCCCAATACGATGGCGTGCATTTCAATACTTGGAGTATGTATTATACTTTATTGTATATTATCCCGTATATAAAGACAACTACATTGCATATTTCTAATTAAGTATATTATTGATGTAATAGAAATTATTATTTTTGTTATTAATAATTACTAAAAATGAATTAACCAAACCCAGATTATTTTAAAGATTATGTTCTTGGTCCTAAATCCTATGTTTATGACCTGATTTATCTAAACAACAGTAAAAACAAAATCTGAGCTAAGCAAACTTTGTTTAAGTATTAGTAATCACCTCATATAACCTTATTTTGCCAGCTAACATCCCCTTACTTAACCATCCAACCCCCCACCCCTCCTGCAATATCAATAATCCTAGATAAGCCACTGCAAACCAAAAGAGGTATATATTTATTCCCAGGTATTTCTACCTGTATAACAATAGTTTTTGATACTGCTTTTTCATAAAACCATGCATTCAGGAATGCTGTTTTACAATAGTCACAGATTTACATTATATAAACACATACACATCATGCATTATTATACAAGTGAACTCACCTATGTTACATTATACACACATTTCATATGCACAAAATGAATCATAAAAATAGTTTTATTATATCATACATATACACACATAACTGATGGCTGTGTGTGAACTGCTGTATAATTATTCTTATTGCTATTATCATTATTATTATTATTACTGTATTAGCATTATTATAATATACTATTATTAGTTACAGGTTTGCTGTTGTTACAAAACAAGTTGTATGCACTATATAAACATTCACTAATTATTTATATTATTGCTAACAATATGAAAAAAACACAAAGTAGACAGTTTATTGCAGACAGATGTTGATGTGAAACACTCTTGTATTCTATAATATATAAAAACAAGTTTGTAACAACAAGTGTGCGCAGTACATATTTTATTTTTTTTTGTTTTCATGAAAAAAACACAACTTAATTTGTGCATTTTTTTAATGTAAGTGATAACATTAGGTACCTTTCTGCTTGTTGATACCAAAAATCTTGTTGACTGAAAACAATGAATATACAGTGTAACTGAGTGTGCAACTTACAGTGCAACTTTGCGGGGAGTTTGGAAAATAACTATTTTTTTGAAATTTCAATAATTTTCTGCAGAAAAAGTACTATGTTATAAGGCAAAAAGGTCCTTTACAAATTCTAACGATATTATTACTAATTAATACATGTATTAATTTCATTTCATTTATAATTAAATTTAACTTCATAGCGTCATTACAAAAGCACAAATATCAGAGCATTAAACAGAATCAACCATATTCTACAAAATAAAAATCAAAACACAGAACTATTGGTATCCAAGTCGCATCAGGATGCCATGAATTAACACAATGCAAGCTCCGAAGCACCGCTATCTGAATTTTGCTCACACAGAGCATTAGTGGATCCAGGATTTTTTAAATGAGAGGGGAACTTTCTCAAAATAGTATAAGGTAAGGTGTGCTAGCATGGGGATAGTGGGTTGAGCAGAATCCTCCCAAAACAACTCTTAATAGATGCATAATAAATGTTTAGTTTATGCTGTTTATATTGTAACATTTTGTCTTTATATTCCATTTTGTATTTTTTGTTGAAAAATTACAAATGGAAGTGGTAGAATGGGGGAAGGGGCATGTGTAAATCCACCCCTTCATAATAGAGTGGAGTTATGAGGTTTTATCATCAGTATTTTATAGCCTAGAGTAGAAATAGTAAAAGTAGTAGTAAAAATATTTTACAGTTACATATACAAGCATATATATACATATAAAAAATTTTCAATAGATATATCCAGATATAGAAAAGATTATAAAGCAGTGAAAGAAAGCAGTGAAAGAATAAAAGATTTTGAAGACGGCAGAATAGAGGGTAGGGATTATAATAAATAATAATAATGCAGTTTTATATAGCGCACATATCCATCTAATTTAAGATGCTCAGGGCGCTAGATATGTGGATTAGGAACTCAATCAATGACTTTCTTTGCCCCTAAGGGTCCCTTCGTGTCTGTGCTACCCGGTAACCCGGTACCAGCAACTCTCGTCGTCCACCACAGGGGCTGTCTGTTTCAGTACACTGGGGTATCCCTCTACTCGTCTCGAAGGATGTACTGGGTTCTTTATAGTGCACACGAGCCATTGTATACACTGGGCCTACGGTTTATTTATCCAAGAAAACTTGTTCTACCACCAGAACCATAGGCGAACGTGTCGTGTGAACCAGCACTGATATTATGGCTATAGCTTGCGGTGCCCCTGCTAACCGCTCGGCCATTCGACTCACCACAGATGTTACTTTTTAGTCAGACTAGGAGAATCACTCCCTGGTTTCTTTCGTACATACTGTATGTATGTAGCCTACTCTAACATATCATTACAGAGATTTTGCCCAATCACTGGCTGTGGAATGTATTACAACATTTTTCTCACTATGAGTAAGAGTAACAAAGCATAATTGATGCCGGTATTGGACAATATTGACAAGTTTCCATACATTCTTTTGGTTGTTACATTTGATATAATATGCTACAATCAATTAAAGTAAAGAAGGCATAATCACAGTATAAGATATTAGTTTCTTGATAAGGCAAATATTTCAGCTATTCTAAAAAAATATCCAAAAAATAATTTTTACAAAAATACATAATTATTTATTCTATCAAAAATTGAATTTGATAAAAAATAAATTCCAAATCATCTTTACAATTTTTTTCAATGATTAGATTTGAAGCAAATTAATTTACAGCAATAATAAGTTTACACTTTCGTTCATGTTGCTACATGAACACAGTCTTAAGTGTAAGTAAAGTAATAGTAAAATCTATTATATACCAGTCTCTACAAGCCTCATTAGTAACAGCATCTCAATTACTCTGTCACTGGTACAGGTACGATATTAATCTTCTCCGATAATTTGATACGTAGCTTGTGGGTCAATGTTACTTTGGGCCATATTCTGCATAGAATGTATTCACTCGTTGGAGAAGGTGTCGGTTACGTTCGTCCGCTGACTTTCTAGCAGATTCCTATTGATGATGAAATTGGATAGAAAATTGTAATAATCAATAATACAATAATCATGATTTTTAAAGCAAGAAGATCATAATTACAATATAAGCACAGCAACACAATTTATATTTAGTTTGTAGAATTTTGGGTATATAAAAAAAAAAAAGACTTGCAGAAATGCTAATGGATTAAAAAGTTATACACACCTCGTTAAGGAACTTTATTTCCAGGGCAGCGTACTTCATTTCCATTTTGTGTAATTTCTGTTCATGTTCTTCTTTTTGTCTTTTTAACTCCAACTTTAAAACTTCCACCTGTTGTTGAAGGTGCTCGTAAGTGAGTGTGCGATCAATCACAGGTGCGACATCAGGGATACTTTGTGAAAAATCAACGTTACCAGCATTATTGCTCTGAAGTGGTTTCGGCGGCCGTTCCGGAAGGAAATGCTTATGATCATTCACAACCCCATTTGAATGAAATTGCATGGGATCCTCAAACGAGGCCCCATCAAGTAGAAATGTTTCATCCTCAATGTGAATAGAGTTATTGCGATTTGAGAATGGCTTAGCGTAATGTGCTTGGGAGGTAGACCTCTTTATTACCATTTGATCCAAGCTTGTGGAAACCTCCTGACTCACGGTAAACATTTCATCAATGCTGGGACTTTTCGTTTTGAACTTTTCTCGTCGAATAACTGGCGGATCATCAATATCAATCAGCTTTCCTTCATCAACTTTGTTTAAATTATGGTCATTGACCTTTACTTCTTTGATAAGGTCAAGGTGCGGATTTGCCGACTTTTTCCTTGGAGGTGCAACAGGAATGTGTGGTTGAGAGTACGGCTGAATTGGGATTAATTTAGTTAATGGAGGTGTTGTATTTGCCGTGAAATCAATCATATCATTTGGAGGAAACATTTCCTTATGCTTTTCAATAATCAAATGTACAAACTTGTGACTAAGTGTGGTTGACTGCATCAGCGATGCTGGACTGTCGGTATTTGGCCGAATTATATTTGGTCCGAAAACTGTTGCGATGTTTTGCACATTCATCTTATTTTTTTCTTCGTGTAAGGAAACGCTGTGTAGGAAATCGCACATGTAGCGCAAGAGATTGTAATTGGTACGCGGTAGGAGTGCAAGTTGCTTTATAAGTTCTTTTCGACCCTGTTCTGGATTTTGAAGGTACAATCTGATACCGTTCATAATATCGTCGTAGTGTGCCCATGGAATAACTGGTTCTGGTAATTCACGTAGGTAGAGTTTCAACAGTGATGCAACTGTGTGTATATCAACACGCTCCCTGTCGAAATCTGGTTTATCCCCAGCATCAAATGAATCCTGCAACGTCTTTATCATGCTGGACCGCCCTGCCAACCTTTTAAAATTAATAAATCATAACAACATATAATTGTTTATAAAATAATGCTTGGCCTCTATCTCCAGACTTGGGTTCAAATCCTTTCTCACAACTAATACTAATTCTACTTCCTAAGCCTCAATAAGAGACTAATTTTCTTTGACAAAAAAACAGCTGTATGCCCATATGTACGGTAGTCGTGATGTGCCTATATATGTTAAATGATGGATGCCATCAGCACCATATTTAGGCATGTCACATGTTTTTCTTAAATAAAATTTGATAGTCTGGAAAAGGCTTTACACATGAATCTGTCGCTATGGCGATTCAATTACACTGACTTATGCAGAGTTTGAAAGAAATCACTAGTGTGAAAATGGTGATTTCAGTGTAGCAATATCTTGAGTCTGTATAATATTTTGGGCTTGCCATCCCAAAACCAGCATCGCTGACCAAATAAATGAAAATTTTTAATATATTTATTATCTTCCACATTATGAACTTTAAAATAATGGGTCATTTAATGGAATTGACTGACTATGGCCAAAGTTACGAGTAAAAGTTTAAATATTAGGGACAGCACATTTAGGATGGCAAGTCGTATTTAGCAAGCATCCCATTTTGTGGGAAAAAATAAATTAATCAATCACTCTTAATCTTTGATTCTGAGGTATAAAAATTACCTGAAAATACCCTCTTCTTTTAGACCATTTTCTGATATGTACTTGACGCACTGCTCCACAATGGAAGGAATCGTCTTTGTCGAAGTTGTACTCTCATTCGTAATAATATCCAGTAAGCTTTGACCAAATACACCTGCAAGATTTGTTTTAATAATGATTAAACAAACAACTAGAAGGTTACAGCAACTGCACAAATCAAAACACAAAAACTATATTTTACTCATTATTTTCAAATATAGAGGGTGCTGGTGAGTAATAGAAGGAAATAATTTACCAATTAAAGAAAGAAATTTTGTTATAATTTTTTTTTTTGCAAATTGAGCTGTTTGGGGAGTTTTCCAGATTTTAAGACCAACAAAACATCATTATTTATTCATCGATAAATTAAACCAGGCGTATAAATTACAACATCTATTAGTTTATTTTATGTACAGAAACCAAAAGTGAATAAGTTTCATATCTAGGGCAAAGGTGAGTAGACCACTGTTTATACTTGCATTCTTCATTGCAATGTTAATTTTAAACAAATTGATTTAGTTGATGACATACAAACGAGAAACAGATACGAAATATGCAAAATCATTCATCAACATAAAATATTGCAAAAGTAACATATCTGAAATCAAATTAGAAGTTGGTATGAAGTTTGAGAATTGAAACATAAAAAAAAAAAGAGAAATATGAAACCCTGCCAAATTTCTGCTTTCAGTATGCCAAAAGGATCAAACTTGAGCAAAACTTTCACATAAAAAAAATTTAACATGGAAATTAGTTAATATCATACAACATACAGTATTAATTCTTTTCTGGGGCCTCAGTGTAATGTTGCTTGAAAAATCAACACAAGCTGTGAGACCTGTCTACCTTTTGCATAGGAACCTCCACTTCTGTGTCAAGTATCTAGGACGCCCACTATTACCCATCTTTCTTTTTACCGAGTATTCACTAGGGTACAAGAAACTGACAGAATAAAAGGGGGCGGGGGACAATATCTTATTTGCTGTCAAGTTCCTAATAATTACCAGACATATTATTTTCATAACCAGATGGCTATGACTTGAAGGTGTGTCACTTTTAATTTCTGTCAAGGTGTCACTGTTGGGGACTCAGAAATGATGATTAAGCTCTTTATCTGTTAAGTACCAAGACAAAAATGGAGGCATGACACTAAAGCCACATATTAATGATTTGTTATCTAGTAATATCTGGCCTTATGTCAATCAAACTGAAAATATGATGTACTGTACTATAAATACAGTTAATGCAAAAATGGTAAGTAGCAGAGGTAAGAACAGAGATGATTAATAAGTGGAAGATTGCTTCTAAGAGCTGGAGACTATACAAAAAAACAGAGAATGGCAAGTTAAAATTGTATTTTATGGAGATAAGAGAGGTGAAAAAATATTAATCCATGCTATGATTTTTCTAACTATATTCGTAATATATTTGAGAGAGCAGGTTAGCTCAGTCAGCTAATCTGATGGTAGCCAGTGTGTGTGCACTGAACTGTGGAGATCTCTCGGTTCCTGATTCAATTCCCATTGCTGCCTCTCCGTGGGTTTCATCGGGAGGGCTGAAATACAAGTTACAATAATGCACCGTCTTTCTGATGAGGCTTGTAAGTTGTTGGTCCCATGTGCTTTATGGCCCATGTGCACGTTAAAGAACGCAGTACACTCTTCAGAAAAGAGTAGGGGATTGTCTCCCGATGTGTACTTCCCAATTACCACCAGAAGAACCCCACTGGAAATTAAGTCTTCTTCAAGAAATTCATGGGCTATCCTTGGTGTTTGCACAGAATAAATTCAATCATCAATCAATTCGTCTGTTCAATAATAGCCTAAAAATTGTTATTTTGTTGTGTGGTAATATTACCTCCACCAACTCTAGCGTACATGACTCGCTGGATTGCCTGTATCCAGTTGTCCATGTCAATCTGTGTGGCTGCCATTAGAAGGAAGGTGTCATGGTTTCCAGCCATCCTACCAGTATGCCCCTCACCTGAAAAAGTAAAAATAATATAGAAAAATTAAAGAAGTTTTCATGAATGCTGTAATTATTATTATGATATATGTGGCCAGCTCTGGCAAAACCTGCCGTTTGTCGCAATTTATAATTTCCCACAAGCACCAAAAATGTTTGAGAATCATAATTTGAACATTTTCAGGTTTTTGATTGAATTAAATATCCATAACTTCGCTAATACTCCACCAATTTCCATCAAATAAACACTGTTTATGCAACAATTTATGCAGAACCTAAAAATACCAAAAGTCAATTTTTAATTTTTTCTACAAACGGCTGGTTTTGACAGTGCTAGTCACTTATATTAATAACTACAGCTCAACATATCCCTATGGAAGTGTACTTTAAAAAAATAATTTATTATTATTTTTATTTATTTATTATTATTTCGTATTATATATTATTATTATTGTACTTTATAAAATAATTTAATAAAATAGTTATCATTACAATACGATAAAACAATGTACAAAATTGTATAATCAGTTAACCGATTGAAGAAGATTTGATTTAAAGTATTATAATGCAACATTTCTCAAATGTTTTTAATATAAACATTATATAAAAGTATCTTACCCAATCTGCATTTATTTTAGTCCTTCTATATTGCAACAATTTCTTTCTATTATTCCATTATATAAATAACTAATTACCATGTTGGTAAATTCTATATTCTACCCCACCAATTAGGAATAATTGAATCTGTGTGCAATTGATTATTACTTAGACATGATTCACCAACCGATTGACAGATCAATGTTTACAGTCTGCAAAGACGATGGAACTCCCTCCAACTTTGCACGTACTGTATGCTTCTAGACAACCCTTACTCCCAAGGGTGTTGTAGCTAGAACTGAGATCAGCCACAGGAAACGAAGACTAGACCTTTGTTAAATGGCATTGTTTATGTAATCATTGCAAAGACAAGCCAACCCAGCCACTCGTCGCAAATCGTGTTTCAGAGATAATGGCCAAAATTATCCCTGGTGGGATGTCAAAATTTACTAAATTTATTTCATTGCACTAAATTACCCTGTATATATCTATACGATGCTGTTATTTACTCAATTTTCAATGTTAAAACAATATTTTTTAACAATTTGGTGATGGTTCTGCCTGAGAAATGCCTGAAATCATAAACTTTGAAGGCTGATTTCTCAAATATTGTTCTCAAATATTGTTCTTCCAACAGCTGTGACTGGTTTGGCATGTTTTTGCCACAATTGCAGCCCACAAATTGCCTTCAAATAAATCTCATCTTTAAAACAAATAATAGCAAATAATAAATCTAATTTAGTCAATATTATACTGTTCATATATTATACACTTATGTATATTTTATTAATTTTATTTCATATTCAATTATTATTTTTTATTAATATATATGACATTTCAACTTATTTCTACTTTCATCTCTACATTAAGAGAGAATACAATTCTTTTAAATGGCATTTTCTGGAAAAGAAATCATAAAATTAGAATTCCTACAATTTATTAAAATTCAGATAAGCTCATGAATTCTTGTGAAATAATTTGTGTGTGCCATGCCTTACCCTGTGAAATCTCAAATAAGAACTTCGGGTCATCAGGATTGTGGGGATGTTTGAAAACCTTGTTGCCTTTCAGCGGAATCGCTCCTAAATGTTTTGTTTCATCTTCTCGTTGGTAGTAGTACATATGATCCTCAGCTAGGACAAAGAACCGCCGTTGCCATGATTTTATAACGCCTCCTTGCTTCTTAAGCCAGCCCTGATGCAAAATGCTTGAGGGACTGAACGGACGACATTCAGTCATGTTATGTCGTTGCACAGCAAACGAAAGCTGCAAGTAATTAAAGAAAATAATAATTATTTTAAAATTAATTGATTAATTAATTATTTAATTATGTGGTTAACGTCATCCTTATTTAATGGACAATTTCTATTTATTTAAAAGAAAGGACTTTACTGATTATACTGCTTAAGTAGAGATAAAAATGTATTTCATTTTCCATATGTGATTAAATAAGGTTTAAACACAGTATAGTAAAATGCAATTCTAGTTCAAATTCATGCTTCTATGACTCCTGAAAATGTAAAAATCCTGAATTCTACTTCCTATGATTTGATGTAACAACTAGCCTTATTTTTATCTACTTTACTTTATTATTTTTCTTTAATTTAAAAAATGCTTTCCTTTTGACCATTTGCACTGTAAATATGACATGGAATGTAGAACAAGAATGTCACGTTGAAATTTGACCAAATTACATTTTCTATTGTATAGTATGTTAAAACCTGCCCTCATAATTCTGGGGTTGTATACTCTGAGGCACAAGCACTGGGTAAATCTTCTCATTACCACTCTGTTCATTGGATCAAATAACACAAACTTAGATGTATTCCATAATATTGCAGCTACATTAAGTAATCAAATCTACAAGATACTGCATCAACTTATACTCCTGAGTGGAGAGAGACAACATGAATGAAGTGCCTAATTGCCCCAGAACACACTCGAGAGACCAGCCTTGGACTCGAGCCCATGATCTTTCTATTGGAAGCACAAATACACTGCGCCACTTGCTTTTACATAATAACAGCCCTCCTCCCTTGGGAAGCTGTTTTCCTGACAAAGTAGCCAAAAGAATTAGTACAAATATATAGGATTGTAAACTTGTTGAATGGTTAGTGTAAAGTTAGTAGTCTGCACTATTGTGGATCTTTTCCCATCGTCTGGATGATTTACCCCATGCTAAAAGATGATTCCCCTAGCTTGACAAGCTAATACATAATTATCCCCTTGTTCACAAAACCACTGAAAAAACATAAAATTGTTATATCACATGTTTCATACAAGACAATAATTTATTAGTTGACTTGTTTCTACAGATAAGACTTTAAAATGGGTTAACTGAATAAAATTTGTCAATTATATTCTGTTAACAGTCAATTATTTGAGACGAGCGTTAATCTTTTAAATTAAGTCATTTTTAGAATTACAACGGCTACTCGCAGCCAAAATTCACCTATTACCGGTAGTCGGATCAATAAAATTGAAAAGTCCCAAGTTCATTATCTTGTATTTAATTCATCAATAAAAACATATTTCTTTTTATAGTGTCTTGACCAATCAGTCGCTTATTCATTTTCATTTGTTAAGTGACTGACAGCTTCTTCAAACCTAAACTCCCCGGGGAGGGGAAAGCTAAGTAATTAAGTAATCAAGGACCTCAATTGCGGCCAGCGGACAATTAAACCTTTCCGTGACTTAAAATGACTACATGAGTGCGTTGGCTAACAATGGCAAGCGGGTACTGAATTGAGGATGCATCAATTACGCACACAAGCAGGTAAGGGTGTGAGTTATAGATTGGATGTAAACAAAGGTAAAACTTGTTAATTAAATACAGATTAGGGAGTTACGGAATCAATGTGTACCTGGTACTGTAGTGTACAGGATTTGTTTTAAAATATTCAAATAAAAAATAACAGTAATTACAATTATTAATTGATAATGATAATTAATAATAGTATGATACTGATAATTGATAAAGATAATTAATAATAATAAATGATAATAATTGATAATTACTGATTAACTTTACCATATATTTACTTCAGCATTTAACTTCTTAATAATGATGGTAGATTTCATATGTATAAGTCAATAATTATGTTAAACTTGAGAAAAGTTTGTAACAAAACGTCTTACCTACACACTACAATCAGATACATTTAAAGCCCTACAGCCTTGGTGTGTGTTGTAAGGCTATAAACAACAGAAACTACTGTAGCGGTGAACAGTAAACACAATGAGCACAGCAATACAATTTACCAACTTTAAATTTGGTAACAAAATTGGTGGCACAACAGTAATGTACTAGATTTTCAAATTTTTATATCATAAAATTTTATGTCAACTTACATAATTAATAATAATAATTTCATTTTTAACCTAAAATTATATTTATATTATGCATATGCACTTCTTTGTCTTTAAAAAGATATCTCTTTTTCTTTTTTAGTGACAAAAAGCAGACACTGGGACTTAAATTAATTGTTCTAAGATCCTGTCTTGTCGGTTCACATGCCTAAGACGAGGGCGTATCATCTTGATCTCTATTCCGTGCGAGAATTAATGCTGTCTCGTGCATAAGTTGCATGGTTTATCTTGCAAACCTTTTATTACAATGTTTCCTGGTAACAAGACTGTTAAGGATTGAATGGTCCAGGAAATTCAGTGCACATTAATGTATGATAGTTGAATACAGGATGTGAACTGAATGTCGACACATGGAATACATGTTTCAATTCCAACGTTAAATTTAAAAAAAAAAAAACAGAGAGCTAACAACAGAATTGGAGGAAGCAAAATAAGCCAAGGGGAAAAGGATGAAATAAAGAATTACACATTTCTTTTACATCATACAATAAAAAAAACCCTGAGTGATAAACAAAAGCACCAAAACAACGGATAATCTTTGTTGAATGATACCAAACAGGGAATTGCTGTCATGTCCAATTTCATTCGCTGAAGGGATACTTTGCAGATGCAGAACAGCGGGCTAAAGTTGACATAAGTCTTTCAACAGTCCGCATGAATCATACCGCTTAGTTCCAAACCACGACCACTGAATGCAGTCCAGGGATAGTTTGTTTCACATCTTTGGGTGATATTGGAATAGATTTTTTTTCCATAGTCTATATGGCAACAAAATGGACAAAGGTTCATGGTTGGTTGTTGTATGAACGATATCTAACCTTCAGTCTTAAAATCAATAAAACTTTGTCATTAAAGTAAAAATATAAATAAAACAAAGCATACAGTAATAAGACCAAAACAGGGTATACAATATCTCAGTATACTAGTATTTTGATTTAAAACAGACAAATTTTAAAATAAAAAATCTCTAAAAAAAACCTAAAATATCAAAGTCTCATTAAGCAAAAATCTGAAGCATCATCCAACTGCTTTACAGTAACTGTATTTTATTTCTCATTTCCTCTGCCCCTGCATATTCTTGTTTGACCATAAAAACACCCAGAAAATACTGTTTGCATGTTGTACACATTTTTTTTAATATGGACTGAATAATCAGGGATACTAACATTACAAATACCTTGGCACAACAGACCGGATTGCAATAACAGGCACAAAAGTTAGTGTACTCACTCATATACCATAATATTACTGAAGAAAACAAATCACAGATTGAATACAGAACAAAAAATTGGGAGAAAAGACCCCTCACATTTTTGAACATTTTCCAAGAAATTCTACCAATTAATGCTTAATTGGTACTTCATGGGTTTTACTGTTGGTGTTTCATAATATGCAGCCATCCGTTCACAACGCAAACTGTTACGAAAGAAACACTGGTTATCAAGTAATTACACAACATATTATTAATTTTATGATCACAGAGTTCAAATTGTTTTAAATTTTCCAAAGCCTATAAAGAAAATAAAATAGAAATATACATACTCCCCAGCTACGACCTATTATTCTGAGGCCCAAACGTAAATGCTAACATTAAGTAGTTTCGGGTTGGAAATCTAATTACACACAAAACACAATCTTGGCTTATCAATTTTTTCTTGGCGGTACATACATCAACTTACCTGGTCTCTGTTGATTTATATAGCTTAATTAGATTATATATTTATGTACCTTGTTCTAAGGATTCCTTGATTGGCTTGGAAAGGATTAATGCCATTATTTTAAAAGGAAAATCAAGAAAAACATACTTTTCTTATTAAGAGCAACAAGTTAGTTCAAAATTTTCTTCAAACGTGTAGCCACAGGCTTTCCACAGAATGTACCAAATAGAATATACAATACTTTCAGTATGTTCTGAAGTACATTAATGCAATACCAAGAAAAAAATATACTGCAGACAAATGATTAGGCCAAAAGTGACCCACTGTCTAGGTCTTTCCGTAGAAAAGGGAGGATAAATCCTCCTCAATTTTTAGTTCCTCTATACTATAGCCACAACAACAACCACAGAAAATAGCTGTACACAGGGCGGATGAGCTCCTAGGAATCAATGGCCAAACCATACTTAGCATAAGGAGACTTACCCTTTTTAGATATCCTGTATAGTCCACTTGGAAATTTAGGGAAACTTGCTATCACAAATAACCAATCACATTCCACAAACAGTTACTAAAACGCATATTTCATAATCACCTTGGCAATAATTATCTAACAGAATTAATCGCAATCATATTTTGCATGGTGTTAGTAAATTAAGAGTTTATAATTTCTTTGACAGGTTAATGTGCTTGGTGTTTGGTTTACAGAATAACTCAATTCACCACGGAAAACTGTTTATCAACCATTAATTGAATTTAATTAATCTTGGCAGAAATATTAAATTCACACTTTAAATTTAAACAAGGTTTTCAAGCAAATCAAGCAAATAATAAAGTAAAGTAACTTTTTTTTTTAAAAGTCAAATGAAGACTAAGGGATGCGCAGGGGGTTTATGAACCTCCAAAAAAGTTGAAGTACAGTAGTTAAAAATCACCTCATATTATACTGATTTTGTGACCTAGTGCCCCCTCACTTAATTATCAATCCCCACTCCACCTTCAAGCCCCCATCAGTCGCCCTCCCATTTGAAGAATCTTAGATATGCCACTGGACACATATTACCTTATTGGCAGCTGAGATTTTAAAACCATTCATAAATGCGAATTTGAGTAAATGTTAAAAAGTCTATTTTCAAGCAAATTATATTTGTACTGTACAGTAGCTCCTTCAACATGGCAAGACGAAATACCTCATTAGTGACGTAAAATACGTTTTATCAAATTTAGTAATCTTGTAACATA